TATAAGCTTCAGACAAATGTGCCCTGCTGTCAACTTTCGACAACAATAAATTTTACATAAAATTCAAAATTGAGCGAACCCCCCGCCACACCTTGATTTTGTGCACTCAAGAGAGTTGAAAATGGCCGAATTGAGTATGGCAAGGGGTACAACAACATCGTCGATTCCACAGAACTATTTTAGGTGGCTGTCATTAAAATGAAAATTTAACAAACAAATTTTCGACGATGATGACGACTTTAACACAGTTGCCATGTACAATGGTGTTGTTTTTGTTGTTGTTACTGTCGGTGGAATCAAAATCCTTCAACCATGATTCCCGTTGATTTCGCATCGGACGTTCATCATTTATTTCGGGACAGGGTAAATCATACTTTTGGTGTTGGTGGGCAAGCTATCACAATGAGGAGGAACAATCAACAAGTTTATGTTGTTGTTGCTCTTTTGGTTTTTGTGAAAAGTTATTAAATGGTTGGTATTTCTATTGTATATCAATAATGAAATATTTTTGAAGGTTAACAAACATTTCACAAGAGTCTAGTGGACAATAAACTGAAGTTGACAACGAATTATACCATATGCCTGAGACAATATTTCCGAAAAACTGAATACGAAAGGATGAAAGTCTATATTCAGGACATGAGAAATACATTGATAGAAATTGTAAATTTTCGTAACCAAGGTTTATTTTATAGACAAGAATCAGTCCTGATGAGCTTGAGATTTTTTTTTAGGAAGTCCTTGATTATGGGGAAATTTTAGTACAGAAAAGATTATTATTTAATAAATATAAGCATTTTTATAAACTCAGCTTAGAAAGAGAGAGAGAGAGAGAGAGATCATTTGATAGGGGCAAAACGTGCCACTTCGAAATAACGGTTTCAGGCCCAAGGTCTCTTTAGACCAAATCCGTTTCAGGACATTTGGAGTCGATCTAGCGATCGACCGTCCGTCTGTCTGTCTGGCTGGTGTGCACGATAACTCTCGATCGGACAATTTCTTCTGGTACTTCCTCGACATGTTGTTCAAGATTTTGATAAACAAGACGCTCAAATAAGCATCCAACTCTTTTCAAATTTCACACATAAAAACAATTTTGCTGACACAAGATATGTTGTGAAGATAATAAATATCTGCGAACCCCTTCTGGTACCTCACGCACAAAGGGTCACAGTTATCAATACTTTAATCTGTCATAACTTACGAAACAAGTCAGCGATTCTTTACAACTGGCTACATCTAGATATTTTTCTCAATCTGAAATCTGAGATAAATTTGGTATTTATGATTTCGCATAAACTTGGATGCAAATATTCGATTCGCTTGTAATTTTGCCCATGTCAATATTTTTACCTGCATTAGATGAAGTATGAAAACGGAATATCTTGTATGAAGCGAAGGAAGTAACGAATTGAGTCCGAACCTGGCACGTCGCAATATTTTTATCATATTTATTTAGGTCCTATACGAAATGGTCATTGTTGGCCTCTATTCCACATACCAACAGAGACCTAAATGAGAGGATTTCAGTCCAATCCCTTCACTCAATGCCAAAATTTAGTACTATTTACAACTTTTCGTACAATTTCCGAAACCACCTCCATATCTCAATTCCTGAGACCTCTATACCAAATCTGAAGATTTCAGCTCTATCTCTTCACCCAATACCAAATATAGTACCATTCAGTACTTTTTGTACAATTGACGTACACATTTCCCGAACTAGCTCTATATGTCCAGGCTACACTTGAACAAAAACCACCACTTTATCACAGACCAACCAACACACCGTTCACCCAAACTGGTCCCAATTTAGTACCATTTAGAACAGTTTGCACATAAAGTACACATTTCTAAAATGTACTTTCAAACTTACTTTCCAACCTTGATTCTCATACTAAATGTCAAGTTTTTAGCTCTATCCGCACCACCAAATCGTACCACTTTAAAAGTTCGGTACCATTTTAGAAATTCTCATGACATTAAAGTCTGAATTTCCAAAAACGCACTCCATCAGATCTCTAGCTCATTCCGTTTCTCTACTAAAATGTATTACGTTTTACGTACAATTTAGTATTTTTCGTACCCTTTCAGTACGAATTTTCAAAACCCCAGTCCTATCACACGCCAACGCACTAGAGTTGACCCTCGTTCAAAATATCAAAATTCCAGCTTCAGCCGTTTTACCTGGGCGTTGATTCTAGTTTAGTCAGTCATTCATTTAGTTATTTCACTAGCTTTTATGCCCTCCACCATTCTATGGAGGGTCCAAGTTTTCGTATAGCCCCAATATAACGGTATCTCGCGATATTTTTAAAACGGTTATACGGTTTTCATTTATGCGGTATTTTTCGACGATTTTCGCCCCTCCACCATAGTATGTAGGGTATATTAAGTTTGTCATTCCGTTTGTAACACTTCGAAATCTACATTTAGACCCCTTGATCAGCATAAAATTCTATGTCGATTTAGCGATGTCCGTCCGTCTGTGGAAATCACTCTAGCTTCCGAACGAAATGAAGTAGGTTGCTAGAATTTTACTCAAATGTATATTATGTCGGCAAGACTTTTTGGCCATGTAGGTCCACGTTTTGGTATAGCCCCATTATATAACGGTACCTCTCGATATTCTGTATTTTAATGATTTTGGCGACATTATTCACCGGAATTGCTTCAAATTTGGTATTTGAAGTTCGATATGGATACTACAGCCTAAGACAGAAAATTGTCTGTGCAGGTCCATGTTTTGGTATAGCTTCATATAGCGGTACCTCCCGATATTCGGTATGTTGACGATTTTAGCGACATTATTCACCGGAATTGTTTCAAATTTGGTATTTGATGTTCCTAATGGATACTACAGCCTATGCCAGAAAATTCTCTGTGCAGGTCCACGTCATCGTATATCCCACATATAGCGGTACCTCCCGATATTCGGTATTTTGATGATTTTAGCGACATTATTCATCGGATTTGTTTCAAATTTTGTATTTGAAGTTCGTAATGGATACTACAGCCTAAGACAGAAAATTGTCTATGCAGGTCCACGTCATCGTATATCCCACATATAATGGTATCTCCCGATATTCGGTACTTTGATGATTTTAGCGACACTATTCACCGGAATTGTTTCAAATTTGGTATTTGAAGTTCGCAATGAATACTACAGCCAAAGACAGAAAATTGTCTGTGCAGGTCCATGTCTTCGTACAGCCCCCATATAGCGGTACCTCCCGATATTCGGTATATTGATGATTTTAGCGACACAATTCACCGGAATTATTTCTGATTTGGTATTTGAAGTTCGCAATGTATTCTACAGCCTACGACAGAAAATTGTCTGTGCAGGTCCACGCCATCGTATAGCCTCCATATAACTGTACCTCCCGATTTTTGAATTTTTTGATGATTTTAGCGACATTATTCATCGGAATTGTTTCAAATTTGGCATTTGATACTAATGGATACTACAGCCTAAGACAGAAATGTGGCCGTGCAGGTCATGTCTTCGTACAGCCACCATATAGCGGTACCTCACGATATTCGGTATTTTGATGATTTTAGCGACATTATTCACCGAAATTGTTTAAATTTCGTAATGGTGATGTTCGTAATGGATACTACAGCCTAAGACAGGAAATTGTCTGTGCAGGTCCACGTCTTCGTATAGCCCCCATATAACGGTACCTCCGATTTTCGGTATTTTGATGATTTTAGCGACACTATTCACCGGAATTGTTTCTGATTTGGTATTTGATGTTCGTAATGGTTACCTATGATAGAAAATTGTCTTTGCAGGTCCACGTTTTGATATAGCCGCCAATATTCGGTATTTTGATGATGCAAGTCCACGTCTTGGTATAGACCCTAATATAGCGGCTACATTCGTTATTTTTAAAATTTTGACAGAATTTTCAACGTATTTTTTTTAATTGCCAAATTCGTTCCAAGTGATGGAGGATATTAAAAATTCGGCCCAGCCGAACTTACAGCTATTTTTCATGTTAAACTTTTCAAGTTTCTTCCACAAGGTAGAGGGCATTAAAAGTTCGGCCCGACCAAACTTATCTGATTTTTTAATTGTTTCTATATAAAGATAGACGATTTAAGGCACTCTGATATTCTTAGGGACTTCTTGCGCCAAAAACTGTTGAATTTTGCAAGAACAGTTGTTAGGATTTCTGAACAACAATTGTGGAGTTAAAAAAAAACACTTTTTAAAGGATGTCCTGACTTATATCATATCTAGGATTATGTAAGAATAGTTTTTAAGGCTGTCTGGAAAAAATGACTTTTCTTATAAAAATCCTGTCGTAAAATTCAGGTTTTATTTGAACTTTTTTTTGACAAACTCGGGGATTTAACAACGTATTTTAAAGGACCTCATGAATTTGTTTTTATTACCCGAGTCACAAAGATTGGGTTTTAATAAGACTGTTGAAGGATCTTCTGATTTTTTTAGGACCACTGAACAAAAATCGTGGAATATTTAATTTTTTCAAGGACATCTAGAAGGACTTCTTTATCAATTCCCATTTACTGATGAGACATTTTTTCTGTAGATAAAATCCTTAGTTATTGATACTTTGTGTGTCCTCTTAGTCTGAATTACCTAAACATTACAAAATTTGTTCCTTTGAATTTTTAAAATTTTGTTTTATTTCTTGTGGAGGGAGAATATTAAAATAGCTTATGTCCCCCTTCAACCTGTGTTAAATGGCACTAAATGCCACTTATGTTGTTGTTGTTGTTGCTGCTACTGCCATTATATCCACCAATAATGGAATAGTTTATAAGGTTAAACATAGTTTGTGTGTATGTGTGTGTCACTTTACCTTGGAGTAAATGTGACACAGAATGGTAATAAGCCAGTTTTTTTTCGTGCGGTTGGTTTACTGCCGAAATCGTCGCTTTTTTTGGCATTACAAATTATTAAATTTTCATAACGTGTAAATATATCTCTGTATATGTGTGTTTTCGTTTTTTTTTTGTCCTTGCAGAGTGCCATTCGCCCCAATGCCAGGAGGATTTGACAGCAGCACCTTTGGGCGTACCCGCTGTGGCCATACTGCCATTGCACACCAGTTCGCCCGAACGGCGTATAACACAAAAGGAAATTATTGCCGGTGAGGAGCGACCCCGCTATGTACTGCAGGCCCAGTATAAATCATCACCAGGTATGTATAACCCGTTCACCCAATCAAGGCAGCCAGCTGACAGCGGCAGCACACCCTGCGCTATTCACACAGATTCAATTTGCTTCATTTTTATTCAATTTGCACCTTTTTGTTGTTTTTTTGTCGTTCCATTGTGAGTGTGTGTGTGCGTCTCTCTTCTTGAGCTACCACCACACCACAAAAGATGTGGAATATTTTTTTTAAACATTAAAAGAAAAACAGAAAGACAAAATTTGCGTTTATTCATAAATCCAGACAAACAGCAAAAAAAAAAAAAAAAAAAAAAAAAATCCGAAATTTTGTAAAGAAAAATGAAAAGCGAATCTCATTTTATCCTTTTTTTGGCAAACATTGTACATAAACCATTACCAAAGCAAAGAAGGATATTTAGTTTAACTCAACACAGCACGAGCGCCATATTTGACAGCAGTATAAACAGCAAGCAACCAAAAAAAGAAAAAAAAAACGCCCAAGACGCTTTTGTCCCTCATCCCCCACACCTCCTCTTCGCTATTTCCCCACCCCCTGTGACACTTTTCCAGGAAAAATCACCATCATCGCTTTCAAGTATCATGCAAGCCAGCAGCAATCAATCAATTCGATATGGAAATCGGGTATCGTTCATGTTCGTTCGCCCCCCACCATCCTCCGAACATTTTCTTTGGTTTCTGTTCTTTTTTGCTATTCTGTTGCAGTTCCCCTTTCCCAGGGATCACATCCTTGGATCCTTGCGTGACTGTAAATACTTATTAGATGGTTGAGTATTTTCTTTTTTTTTTGGTTTGTATTATAATATTTTTATAGACTAAATTTTTGTTACGCATACAAGAAAAGAAGAAGCAGAAGTAGACAAAAATTTGAAGAACCCCCCAAAAAACACTGTATAATGCATGTCTATATTTTTTATGTCCTTGCGGCGAAATCAAGTCATTGTATATCATTTAATTTACATATTTAAAATCGCATATTTTGTGAAATTTGGTTATCGTGGATATATTTTCTTTAAATATAAATTCATGGAAAATTAAATTTTCCAACAGTAAAACTGAAAAAAAATATATAACAAGTTAAAAAGCAGTAAGTTCGAACTTTGAATACCCTCCATCATTTGAAATTTGGAAATTTTCAAAAAGTAAAATCCGTTAAAAATTCTGTTAAAATCTTAAAAATACCGAATATAGCCGTTATCTTGGGGTCTAAATTCGAAACTTGAAATAAACGGTGAATAATGTAGCAAAAATCATCAAAATATCGTATATAGGGAGGTACCGTTATATCGGAGCTGTGTAAAGACCTGGACCAGCATAGACAATATTCTGTCATAGGCTGTAGCATCCATTACGAACTTCAAATACGACATCTCAAACAATTTCGGTGGGTATTGTACCTAAACTCGTCAAAATATCGAATATAGGGAGGTACTGGTATATGGGGCCTATACGAAGACCTGGACCTGCATAGATAATTTTCCGTCACAGACTGTAGTTCCCATTACGTACTCTAAATACGTAATTCGAAACAATTCCGGTGAAATATGACGCTAAAATCATCAAAATACCGAATATTGGGAGGTACCGTTATATAGGGGCTATACGAAGACGTGGAGCTGCACAGACAATTTTCTGTCTTAGGCTGTAGTATCTATTTCGAACTTCAAATACCTAATTTGAAACATTTCCGGTGAATAATGTCGCTAAAATCATCAAAATACCGAATATCGGGAGGTACCGTTCTATGGGGGCTATACGAAGACGTGGACCTGCACAGACAATTTTCTGTCTTAGACTGTAGTATCCATCATGACCTTCAAATAGCAAATCTGAAACTATTCCGGTGAATAATGTCGCTAAAATCATCAAAATACCGAATATAAGGATCTACCGTTATATGGGGGCTATACCAAAACGTGGACCTACATGGTCCATTTTCAATACCAAAAGTCTTGCAGACATAACATACATTTGAGCAAATATTTATCTTCCATACTATGGTGTAGGGTATAAAAATAGAAACATTTCACATGAAGTCCTAGAAAGCATGTTTAAATAATCCTTCGTGACACACCTCACTGATTAAGGATCTTTTGATATAAAAACAAGTACTTATGGACTTAAGTTTGGCTCCACCAGGGATAAATAAGGATTTGAAAATTGGCGTCATATGAAAAACTCTCCAAATATTTATTTTGATTGGATGAAGTGGACTTAGGGTTCAAGTGGGATACTCCTCTTTCTTGAAATCCTTATATTTTACGAATATAGTGTCTTCGGCAAAATTACTGCTAACAATTCGAGGCTTATTTTGGTCGAAAATAAACCTTGTCCGTCCGTCTGCCCGTCTGACTAGCGCACACGATAACTCTCGAAGGGAGTATCCGATTTGATCCAAACTTGGTACATCGTAATATTATTGTTAAACTTATTAACCCAAGGTCTAGTGTGAAGATGGAATATATCGATCCACTCCTTCTGGTACCTCCTCCCCCACAAAGGGATCAATATTTTGAATATCCATTAAGCTCATAAAACGCGAAATTAATATCCGATTTAATTCAGACTTGGTATCAACAGAATATTTGTTATTTAGATGGTAGAGATTGGACCATTCCTTCTGGTACCGCCTCCACAAAGGGTCAAAATTTTGAAAAACAAAAAGGAGAATAAAATCCGAAATAATGTTCCGGTTCTTTTCAAATTCACACATCCCATTATTTCTATTAACACAAGATCTGCTGTGATGGTGGGATATATCGGTACACTGCTTCTGGTACCTCCCACAGTGGGATCAAATGTTTAATAATAGAAATAAAAAAACATATTCAAACTTTACACATCCCATTATTTCTATTAACACAAGATCTGCTGTGAAGGTGAGATATATCGGCACACTGCTTGTGGTACCTCCCCCACAACGGGTAAACATTTTGAATAATTATATCCATCATAAAATGCGAAATAAGCATCCGACTATGTCAAAATTCCACACATCCCAATATATCTACTATCACAAGATATGGTGTGAAGATTATAGATATCGGCCTACCCCTTGTGGTACCTCCTCTACAAACGATCACAATTTTAAATACTTAAATCTCTAATAACTTTCGAAACAAGACAGCGATTCCATTAAAACCTGGTATAACTTAATATTTCTTCCACAAAGAATTTTGGTTTATGTTTAGATAAGTTTTTCCCTTTTCTGACAGAATAATAGGAAAATGTCAATTTTTACACCAATAATCTTTAATTTTGAAGTTCACCGAGGAGGATACTAGTAAAACCACTGCACGAAGGATCCACATTCAATTTTTCTGCCCAAGTGTATAAAGCCAAGGGACCAACAATACCAAATTTGGTACCCATTCGCGATTTAGTACCACTTAGTACTTTTCGAAAATCTTAACCACAGGCACCAACAGTGACATCTATATCAAATTTCAGGATTTCAGCTCCATTCTTTCACCGAATACTATTTAGAAAATTTATTATTGCACATATTCCAAAAACTCCTCCATATCTCAGATACCAACAGAGACCTCAATATCAAATTTAGAGATTTCAACTCTATTTCTTCACCAGTACCAAATGCAGAAACATTAAGTACTTTTCGTACAAATTTAGGACGCATTTCCAAAAAAAATCCATATTTAAATTCCAGATTCCAACAGAGAACTCAATATAAAATTTGAGGATTTCAGAACTATCCCTTCAACCAGTACCCCTTTAGTACTATATAGTACTTTTTGTATAAATATAGGACGCATTTCTATACAACCGCCAAACCTCAAATACATTTGTCCAGGCTACACATGAACAGCGATCTTAATACCGGATTCCAGATTTCAAGCACGATCGTTCAGCCTTGGTATTGGGATAGTGTACAAATTATAGTACCATTTAGTACTTTTCGTACAATTATAGTAAGCATTTTTAAAACCACCGCTATATCTTAATCCTAGACCCAATACAAAATTTAGTACCATTTAGTACAAAATTAGGAGGCATTTCCAATCTCAAACACATATACAATCAGTCATCTAAATATCAAATTTCAGAATTGTATCTCTATTCCTTCAACCAATACCGAACTTAATACCATTTAGTACTTTTCGTACAATTGTAGTACACATTAACGAGACCAGCTCCATATACCCAGGTTAAACATGAACAGCGATCCTAGTACCAAATTTTAACCATTATCTGTTCACCTAATATCCAATTGTACCAAATATATTGTACTATTTAGTACTTTTCGTTGACTTCTGGTACACATTTCCAAAGCCATCACTTTATGACAAACTTACCACCAACAGGGACCTCAATACACAATTTCAAAATTCCAGCTTCATCCGTTCACCCTAGACCGAACTGTTTAAAATGTACTACATTTAGTCCTGTTCGTACACTTGGCTTGGTTATATGGGGCCTATATGAAAACGAGGACCTGCATACGCAATGTTTGTCATAGGTTGTAGCACCCACTGCGAACTTTAAATACGAAATTTGAAACAATTCCGGTCTATAATGTCTCTAGAATCCTCAAAATACCGAATAGTGGGTGGTACCGTTATAGGAAAACGCACTGAACCTATCTACTAGCAAAATATACATGTGTGTAAAAATTTAGCATTCTATTTCAATTCGTTCGAAAGATATCCTGATAACCACAGACAGACGGACATAGCTAAATCAACTTAGAATTTTACTCTGATATAGAATATAAACACTTTGTTGGATCTGATTTGAGTATTTCGAGGAGTTACAGCAGGAATAACGATGTTAATATACCCTCCATGGTAAAAAAATGTTATGCCTTTGTGGGGGGAATATAAAGGAGTGTTCCGCTGCACCCCATCTTCACACCAAATCTTGTTCTGCTCCCTCTATAAATGAGATTTTCTACACTTTTGCCGATACAGGTGTCTTCTATTTCTAATTCCACTTTCAAAACCTTCTGAATTTCTCCTGTAATTATTATTTTTGTTGCACTGTGTAACCTAT